CCCCCCCCCCCCCCCCGCCGTATGCGCACTGCATCTCTTCTCACAGCAGTCCTCCGTAGGGACTATTCTGGGATCCAGAGCACTCCATGAACGTTCCATAAGTATGGTTTTCAGTGGGGAGATGCCAGTGTTCACACTAGTCTGATCAACTCCGAGCACTGATTTTTCCAGTGTTCCTATCTGCTGCCCTACCACATGGGTACCAAGAGGTGTTCCGTGGAGTCAGAGATCTGGACATTAAGGTGAGAGTCAAGTTCAAAATCAGGAGCCACTGAAGATCTAACATTGAGGTTTACGGTTCAGCTCAAGAGAATTCCATCAAATTAATACTTCCTGGTGGACCCAGTGGGGTTTCACCTGCCTTCCTGTCTCTTTTCCTCAGGAAAGCATCTTAACAGCATTTAAGGACTTTTCTGGAAAGTACAGTGGAGCAGAAGGGCCACAGTCAAGGACTCTGAAGTTGGGTGGGTCCTGAGCTCTACCCTGTGACTCAGGTCACCAAGTCTCCACGGGCCTCCGCTCTTCCATGGCGATGCTCCTCCCTCCCTCCCAGGGCTGTGGAAGTTTGTAAATGAAAGTGCCTGAAAAGGGTTTTGCCCTTGTGCTTGAGACTCCGTAATTGCTTAATAAATGGCTGTAATGAAAACAATAACATTAATCATATTCCTTAATAGTATTAACATATAACAACTAATATTAATTTGTTATTATTATTATTATTATTAGACTTAGAGGTGCTTGAATACCTGCTACAGCATTGGTAAGAGGACTTAGACATGGTAGGTGGGAGAAAATATTTGCTGAATGAATTTATTACCCAGGGCACCTAAAAAGCCTGGAAGCCGAAGTGAAAGGGCATAATCCAGGACTGGTTGGTATAACCCCACAGCACACGATGTAATACTATCTAATACCAAACCGTGTGTAATGTATGTCAGCACACCGTTCGTCCTTAGGAAGCATGGTTCTGTGCGTTATGGGGGATTGCAGTGGGCGAGGGATTAATGCCGCGTGTCCATCAATACCATACATGCATCTTTGGTATTTTTCTTCAGATGGTGTTTGTCTCTGATTTTCAGGGAGCCAACGTGTGCCTTTGGCCTACCCTAGAAGACAGAATTAGGGGGATTCATATACATAAAAATAAAGAATGAATCTTTGTTTCCGGACTTTATGGTCACAGACCACGCTGCCGATACTTTCCATCTTTTCCTGCTGGGCATCGCCTTCTCGGCAGGCTGAGGGGCCTCTCCATGGGCACCTGTGTGGCCTCCTGGACGAGTCTTCTCCCTTCTTATTCCTCACCTCTGAGCTTCTTCGCAACTGCCCAGGGATGCACACCCTGTCACACGGCTGTTACTAGACATAAGAGGGAGAGCCGTTCCCATGTTTGGAGACCCCACGTGTCATGGGAGACCATGCTGTGCAAGCCACCCAGAAGCTGGGCTGTCGCTAGAGGGTTTGGGTCCCCCAGTTTGTCTGAAGCTCAAACAGAGCTTTATGGAAAGAGGGAGAGTGGGAATCAAGGGGTTCAGGGAAGCTACTTGATTTGCCAGAGTGGAATCCAGCACCTGTTGTGATGGCTTCTGATATTGTCACTTGGGTGGCTCAGCTTCCCCCCCCCCCTTTTTCTTCATTGAGACATAATCACCGCATAACACTGTAAGGCATACAACATGTTGACTTGATAACATTTATATATTGTAGTGTATTTATATATTGCAGTATGATTACCACCATAGCATTAGCCAACACCTCTGTCACATCACACAATTATCATTTCTCTTTGTGGTGAAAACATGGAAGATCTAATCCTTTAGCATCTTTGGAGTATATGGTACAGTATTCTTGACCAAGATCACAATGCAGGGCATTGGATCTCAAGTATGCATTCATCTTCGAACTGCAAATTTAGACCCTTTGACCAGTGTGTCCCCCACCCCCACTCCCTGGCAACTACATTCTACTCTCAATTTCTCTGAGTCCACTTTTAAGTGACAACCTATGGTATTTGTCTCTGTCTGACTTCTCTCACTTACCGCTATGCCCTTAAGGTCCACCTGTGTTGTTGCAAATGGCGGGATTTTCCCCTAGCCGCCCCCCCCCCTCCCCCGGCTAAATGATATGTCAGCTGACTGTGACTTCTTTCTCTCTCCCGCAGGACACCGGCCATGATTGGCTGCTCCTTCGTGGTCAACAGGAAGTTCTTTGGTGAAATCGGTCTCCTTGACCCCGGCATGGATGTGTATGGAGGAGAAAACATCGAACTCGGAATCAAGGTTTGTGAGAGCATCCTTTCCTTCTGGTTTATTCGTGTTTGTGAGCACAGCTGCTGGTCATCCTTTGTGTGTGTTTAAAGTTCCTCTAGCTGGTGAGTGGCAGGATCATTCACCCTTCCCCCGCTCCTGAGGCTGTGTTGGCAGGGCTGTTTCATGCCTCGGTGACCCAGTTTGGACATTCGCCACAGAATTTGGTTTCTGCATCCATCCAGTTTTGACTCTTCCTTTAAATGTTTCTTAAAATTCAATTGTCTCCTTAATTGAATTGATTAGTATTTATCGTATGCATGTCGACAATTCGTGTACCTCATGAAATCGTAAGATGCCAGAAGAGAGAAGGACCAAGTTCTGTGGGACCCTTCCTTTCCTTAGAAATGCTTCTAAAGGGGGCGCCTGGGTGGCTTAGTTGGTTAAGCATCTGACTTTCGCTTAGGTCATGTCTCACGGTTCGTGGGTTCAAGCCCCGCGTCGGGCTCTGTGCTGACTGCCAGCTCAGAGCCTGGAGCCTGTTTCAGAGTCTGTGTCTCCCTCTCTCTCTGACCCTCCCCTGCTCACACTGTCTCTCTCTCTCTCTCTCTCCTAGAAATAAATAAAACATTAAAAAAATAAAAAAATTAAAAAAAAGAAAGAAATGCTTCTAAGGGAGAGGATAGGGAAAGGTAATGAGAGAACATTACCCAGATCAGCTTTACTAATGAGATCGTTTGGATGCAGTTGACCCTTAAGCAATATGGGTTCAAACTGCATGGGTTTGCTTATATGCAGACTTTTTTCGATAAATACGGTACAGTATCATAAATGTATTTTCTCTGCCTTGAGTTTCTCTAAAAGTTTTTTTTTCTTAAATAGTTTATTGTCAAGTTGGTTTCCATATAACACCCAGTGCTCATCCCAACAAGTGCCCTCCTCCATGCCCATCACCTCCCTTCCCCTCTTCCCCACCCCCATCAGCCCTCAGTTTGTCTCAGCATTCAAGAGTCTCTCATGGTTTGTCTCCCTCCCTCTCCCCCAATATTTTCCCCTTCTTCTCCCATATCATCCTCTGTTAACTTCCTCCTAATCCACCTACACGTGCAAATATAATGTATCTGTCCTTCTCTGCCTGACTTATTTTGCTCAGCATATCACCTTCTAGTTCCATCCATATTGCTACAAATGGCCAGATTTCATTCTTTCTCATTGCCATGTAGTATTCCATTGTATAGATATACCACATCTGCACTCTCAACAATAGCCAAAACAGGGAAAGTGCCTTAAGAGTTTCTTAATGGGTTTTTCCCCCCTGGCTTCCTTTGTTGTAAGAATACAGCATATAGTATACCTAACATACAAAATACATGTCAATCAGCTGTGTGTATTATTGGCAAGGCTTCCATTCAACAGTAGGCTATGAGTAGTTACGCTTCTGGAAAGTCAAGAATTATACGTGGACTTTCAACTGCACACAGGTGGTCAGCACCCTGAACCCCTGGGTTGTTCAAGGGTCAGTTCTACTGTGTTTTGCTCAAGATTTTGTTTGAAAAATGGATTCCAGTGTAGAAAAAATAAAAGCTGAACACACTGATGCGTTCCAACCTCTTTGTTTTAGAGGTAATATAAATGAACCCCAGAGCTCTTTGAGGACCCAGTAACCCCTGAACTGGTATGTCTTTCTCCATACCACAGAAAGCGGGTGCTAAGGAGACCCCCCCCCCTGGCTGGGGCCCCTGTGTCCACTGCCCTTTGTCCTGAACTTTTCCATGCCTGAGCCCCTGGGAATCAGGCTCGTTGGGAACAGCTCAGGACACAAGTAGAAGTGTTAAAATTTATTGCGTTCTTTTGCTTTCCTCTACTGCCTTCCCATTTTGTCCTGACCCAGTCTGGGTCCCCTACCCTACTCAAAGCCTGCTCTGTACTTCACTCTTTTATCCTTCACTGATCAGTACCTTCCATCAGCCCCTCATCTGTACTGGACCGCCCTTTGTGGATGAAAGGTGTCATGCCCTCATGATATAATGACCGTCTGGGATACATGAGTGAAAGGGGATGGTGAGGACCCTCCCTTGATCCTAAAATCCCCCCTTCTGAAGACTGCAGACTCTTCCTGTGCCATCAATGTCAGGCTGGTCTCTTTCCTCGATGGAATTTGCAGAGGATTTCTTTGTCAAGCCCAGCAATTAAAAAGCCTATGAATAGGACATCATAGTGAATATACTTGTCACCCAGGGCACCTGGGTGACTTAGTCAGTTAAGCGTCCGACTTTCGCTTAGGTCATGATCTCGCGGTTCGTGGGTTCAAGCCCCGTGTCGGGCTCTGTGCTGACTGCCAGCTCAGAGCCTGGAGCCTATTTCAGAGTCTGTATCTCCCTCTCTCTCTGACCCTCCCCTGCTTACACTGTCTCTCTCTCTCTTCTAGAAATAAATAAAAATATTAAAAAAAAAAAAAGAATATACTTGTCACCCAGCCATTTAGAATTTAATTGAAGGAAAAGATCTGGACCCAGCATGTTGAACTTGGCCTGGAACTCAAACCTCTGCCTTGCTCCCATCCATTTCTCCTTGTTCTGTTCTGTTGCTTTGGTTTTTGTTTTTTATGTTTTTAAATCCTCACTGACTTCTAGCCTGCCATAGAATTCACTTACTGATTAGGAGTGTTGTTTTTCTCAACCTTTCCCTCACTAGATTGCAAGCTTCACAAGCCCCAGATCTTTGCTGCGCTCACCTTTGCATTCCAAGCCTGTAGAACCTTCCTTGGCACCTGGCTCAGTAGGTGTCCATTAGGTTAGTGCTTGAATGTCTGTTAGGGATCTCTGACAACTTGTCCCAGGTACCTACCTGCAGAGGAAATGAGCAGACAGAAGCCCTGGCTTGAATTAAGCTTTTTTGTTTGTTTGTTTTTAATTTTATTTTTAAGATAAGAGAGATTTGAATATCTCTATGTGCCGTCAGAAGGAAGCCGGTAAAGAGTGAGACATCACCGAGAGAGGGGAGAACCAGATGTTGAGGGGAACACTGGCCCTATGTGGCCAGGCGCATAGGTAGAGGAGTTATGGGGACAGGAGGGTGTTCCAGGGGAAACAGAGGCTGTGACAGCAGAATTCAGTGCTAAGGCTTGCTGAGATGCTGGTCTCCCCACGTTTGCCGAAGTATTTGCTTTGCAGGGACTTGGACCTTGCAAAGGACGTCGTGTGGGGCACTGCCAGGCTCACTGGTGATGGTGGTGCCAGTCTTATGTGGCCGGCCCCATCCATGAAGAGGCGGGAGGGGGTGTCGATTTCTACCCGGAAGCACAGCCCAGGACACAAAGCCTGCGTATCACCAGATGGGGCCGGTGGGTTCTACTCTGCACGCTCCTTAGGAGCAGGCGAGAGTGAACAGCCGACGGAGTCTGCTCTTGGTCTTGGCCTCCCTATGGTTCAGCTCCCGACTGCTCTCTGCACGGCTTTATGAGAGCTTCGGCTGGTTCGGAACACAGATGCCACCCTCCCGTGCAATTACCTGCCTCTGGCTGTATACTCAGGCACATCCAGCACCCACCCTGGAGGTTTGGGGTCGTTTATGCTGTATTCCCATAGGTCACGTTGTCCTGCCAATTGTGAGCAGACTCCACACAAGCCTTGGTTTTCTGCCAATTCTTTTTTTTTTTTTAAGTTGATTTATTTATTTTGAGAGAGAGAGAAAGCATGAGTCGGAAAGGAACTGAGAGAGAGGGAGATACAGAATCCCAAGCAGGGCTCCAGGCTCTGAGCTATCAACACAGAGCCCAACTCAGGACTTGATCTCAGGAACTATGAGATCGTGACCCAAGTAGAAGTCAGACACTTAACCCACTGAGCCCTCCAGGTGCCCCAGTTTTCTGCCAGTTCTTAAAGCAGGAGTTGAGTGCTGTTGGTTCCATAAAGCCCAAAGCCGGGGTTCTGTCTCCATTCTGTGGCTCTCAGGGTGTGGTCCCCTGAGCAACATCAGCCTCGTCCGGGAACTTGTTACAAATGCAGATTCTCGGGCCCCATTTCACACCCACAGAATGAGACACTCTGAGGTGTGCTTCAGCAGCCTGCATTTTAACCAGCCTTCCAGGTGCTTCTGTTACACTCCCAAGTCTGAGAGCCGCTGGACCACCTCCCAACCTTAGCCAGCTTCCTGGCAAATACATGCCTTTTCTCAGAAAGTAGCTCAGGTAAGGGTCCACACCTTTCGAGGCCAGGTGTCCCTCACAGCCACTGCAGGCCCTCAGGGAGCCCTTCCCCTCCTACTCAGCCCACACGGCCTGGGCCACCTTGGGTGTCAGCACCTAATCCCTCCTTAACTTCACAGAAGGGTGTTTGGACTGAGTGACTGTCAGGTTCCTGGTGACAGGGCTCCCTTTGACCTGAGGCAATCTGTGTAATCTGTTTTACAAACTAAATTCATTCTCTTTCATTTTGTGCTATTTCATGCCATTAAGGACACAAATCAGATGAATAAAAAGGGTGTCTAGAGGGCTCAGGTGGTTCAGCGTATGACTCTAGGTTTCAGCTCAGGTCATGATCTCATGAACCGTGGACTCTGTGCTGACAGCTTGGAACCTGCTTGGGATTCTGTCTCTCCCTCTCTCTCTGCCCCTCCACTGCTTACACTGTGGCTTGCTCTCTCTCTCTCTCTCTCAAAATAAATAAATAAACATTAAAACAAACAAATAAGGTGAATAATAAATACAGTGTTAAGAAAGCCATCCCCACTGCTTGAAAAAAAAAAAACCAGAACTTTGTTTAATAGACACACACCTACATGGGATTTTCATATCGAGTACACATATGTGGTTATACAAATTGACCTATAAGAAATGACACGTCTTACGATTTCGTTAAGTAGGAAAATTTTGCTATGAGCACACTGGCTTTCTTTGTGATTTTTTTTTTTCACCAAGAAACAGATCTACCGGCAATCTAACTCTTCTTTGAAATTTGTTTTGGTTACCTTTTCATTGTGTCCTCAGTAAGCAAGGATGAACCACAAGAATGAGAATGCAAAGTCTCACTGTG